ACTCAGCTGGCTTCCAGATAGCTGGGGTTGTAGCATTAGCAAGGGTGGCAGGGTTGTGCAGGGCATGGACTCCCCTGTACACACCTGGGAGCCCTGGAACATGCTGCTGTATTCTCAAGGATTTTTGTATAGCGGGTACCTGGCTAAATCAGGGTTATGTGGCATGTACGCCTATGTGTTGTACAATTCACTTATATCCTACTCAGAATAAGGTGTGGTGGGCGTCCTTCCCCCATCACAAAGCTCATAAGAATTCATGGCTACAAATGGGGTCAGTGGGCAGCATAGCTTAAAGACGTGTCCTGCTTGTCTGAAACGTCTGACTTCTGACCATTGTGGACTGCAAAGCGAGGAGTTAAACCCATCTGGACATGTGGGGTTCCACTTTCTTTGGGTGGCTTATCGCTTCTGAGGCACAAAGGACATTTGCATTGGTGCGTGGAGTTCTTTTTCTTGCCCCCCACTCTTCTTCTTTGGGTTCTTTTCAAGGAAGTGGGAAGAAATTTTATGAGTGAAGAAGGCTTGAAAAGTAAAATGGGGTCTGTGTGAAGTTGGTTGAAGGGTTGGGTTGCAGATGAAAAACCAAAGGTTTGGATAAAGACTTGGTAGCAGAGTGCAGGGTAGAAAATAAAAAAATTGTGTTGCATTGATGGCAGTAGCTTGGTTGGAGGTGGGTACAGATAGGAGCAGGGCCAAGAGGAACAGGGAAGGCTGGAAGACTTTCTTGAACTGTCAGCAGACACACACAGTGTGGATGCTTGGTGGCCCTTTTCCCAAGACAGTGAGAAGGAACGACATCACCCCACATGAAAAACACTACAACAGGAAGATTTAGACCAATTCCTTTCCCAGTTTATCTGGGAAGGAAACAAAGTGACAAGTGCAGAGCACAGGGCTCTTCAGAGCTGTTTTGTCCTGAGGCACCTGTGGCACCTGATGCACCCCGTGTCTGGTCTGGCATCTGACACTCATGGATTTGTAGTTAGAGTACCCCTAGCTCCAGCCACGCAAGCCAGGACAGTGCTTCCTAGTGGCATCTATGCATAAGAACACCCCATTCAAAGAAATGTTCCCAGTCTACATTATTATACCCTGGTTCTTCATGCATCGTCCAGCACCCCTAGCTACATGAGCTGATTTTATGACTGAGCTATGTGTACGTTCATGAGGTTGCTTTGATAAGCTGAATGCTGTGCTCCCCATCACTTAACCTAGTATTTAGAGCATCACACGTCACCATGCTCGGTTAAACTGAAAGGTAAGGTCTGCCTTTTGGCACGACATATCCAAATAGTTTAGAAAGACAAAAGTAGTGCTTTGCATTAATTTTTGACCTTACGCTTACAATGCATGAGGTTAACATTTATTTGCATAGACATTTCTCTGCATTTAGAGAAGATTGGTAAGGCGGACACAAATCCAGACTGTGAGGTGGTGTAAGATCACCCCAACAAAGAGATGGGTGCTGGGAAAGAGCAAAGGAGCTGCTAGTCCAGGCGTTGTATCTCCTATGCTTTAAAAGCTATACCATACATAGACTAGCAGCATGTGGGAGAACAAAAGCTGATCAGGAATCATTTACAGCTATAGATTAGGATTACTTTTAGACTGGAAATTAGAGCTGGGTTTATATAGCTCACTGTATCTTGTCACCACACTACTACAGAGGTTATAGTGAATTTGATTCTCAACAAAACCTCCTTTAAGACAAATTTATGTTTATTTGGGCTTCTCTATCTCTGCACTCTTTTTGGTATCACAGAAACGTGGAGATAGATCTGTAGCCAAATACTAATCTCATAAACTCCACAAACATTAACTAACACCATCTGTGGCAATTTTTACCGCAAATTACCACAACATGTGAAATGCTTCTCTCAGTCTGATAAGCAGAGCCTTGTCATGGGAATAGTGTCACAAGGCCTCCTTGCACCATGGCTCTCATGTCCAGATGTCTTTGATTGAGACATGTAGGAAAAGATATTTTATCATATCTTTCCAGTAAACAAGAAAGTTCCTCTTCTCAATGTGCCTGGAATGTCAATGCAAAGCAGAAATGAGAGAAATCAAAATAAGCAGCAGAAGCAGCACATCTGTGAGTAAATGGTTTTCTCCAGCACAAAGCTACTCCCCAGATGCCGGAAAGCCATTTTTATCTGTCCTCTCCTGCTTGATCGCAGGGTCTGACTCCCTCTCCCTCGAGCTTCCAGTAGCACTTTGGGCAAGTAGTAAAAAAGCACAAAGAGTTTGGAGGGGAAAAAAGCATTGTTCAGCCACCAGCAGACCAAAACAGTGGGAACAGGAAAACAGACATGGAGAAACAACCCGTCATACTCTGTTCATATCCAATTTGCTTGCTCTTCACATAAAATATTCCTTCCTGCCAGCGGTGGACTGTCTTGCATCAAACATAATTTGCCATCGCCACTTTCAGGAAAAACTCTTGGGGCCAGGAGGATTTTGCTTTCAGGATTTCTCTTCACTCTGAAACAATGATATAGTTTAGTTGTTGGAACATTTCCTCCTGACTTTTTTACCTGCCAGACAGCAGTTTCTTACATGTCCACCCTCACTTTGGGCTGTCTTAAGGTCCTTGGTCGGCACTTCGCTTTAGTCCTGGGAATAGCTGCTTGCCTGTTGTGCACATCTGGCTTCTATTCAGAGGCCTGGCAGCATTTGTCACTTTTTGGGGTAGGAGGCAGAGAAGGTGACAGCAGAACACATCCTGTATCTGGGTGGGCACAAATGTGCTCTCTGCAACAATCAAAACCACCAGGAAATACTGAGTTAAGATTTGTTATTGTATTCTCCAGAGGCATTTACTAACCCTGGCAGGCACAAAACATCATTTTTGGAACTTCCCTTTTTGGGGAGCAGCACTGTGCCTTTAATTTGCTTGATTGTTCGTATTGGCTTCTTTAGATAGTAGTTCTGATGTGCTGATCTACCACTGCAAGAGCTTCCTCTTTCCACTGACTATCCAAGGAAAGCCAGCTCCAGACTTCGGTGCCTGGAAATCTCACTAGCTTAGATACTTAGAAAAAAATTGACTGATAAATAAAAAACTTGGACTTTTTGTGTATCTGTTTTCCCTGTGCACTGTAAAGTTCTAGGGAAGAGCCCAAACTTTCTTGGAAAACTGAAAAAGTATTCTGCTTGGAGGTAACTCTGGTTGTAAGTTATAGTTTGTGTTTTATGAGCTGTTCGATGTTCTTGATTTATGGAATGTTATTGGAAGTCATTGCATTACTTAGAAGATGACTAAATTACTGTGATCTTCACCAGAAATTGATTGCTAGCTGACACTGCCATTAGAGGCTGAGCTGGTGAACAGGATTATCAAAGGGAAGACTGACATAATTAAGAAATAAATGAGGCCAAGGGAATAAAGATCCTCTTTTGATATAAACACCTTTAGTATGACAAAGGAACAATGAAAGAACAATAAAAACCTGTTTAATTTCAAATGTTCAACTTTTTCCTCTAAGTATTAGCAGCTCCTTAAAAGTAAGCTGTGTTTTATATCTGAGGGGATTTGAAATCCTGCAGAACAGAAGCAGTTTGTCAAATATTTGCAATTTAAATAAAAAAAGAAGGAAAAGTGCAAACTCTTGCCATATTGTCCAGAAGCATGAAAGTTATATGCCAGAGGTATGCCGCCAGTATAAAAAAAATACTTCATTTTCATTGCTTTGGGGACAAGGAATATGTGAACGGATGCTAAGAATGAAAAGCTGTGCCTGAATCCTGATGGGAATTTAGTTTCTTTTGATACTCTCAAAACTGTGTCAGCTCTTTCCATGAATATTTCATTTGTTTTTAAAAGGAAAATGATCATGGCGCTAATGCATTACTCTTTTTTTTTTTTAAGTATTTTCAAAATACTTATTTCATTCCTTCCCTGCACCCTTCTGCAGCAGCCCACAGAAAGACTGTGCTGTGTAAAAAGTTAATAAGATTCTGAATAAATCAAGAATTTTATATATTCTTTACATGTTAGCATGAAGAAATTCTGTTTCAGTTTGCAGTCAGTAGGATCATTGACCTATATGGGACCACAAACGGTCCAGAAGTCCACATTCATTTATCAGAGTGTGCTTTGAGTTTTCCAAGAAAGGTGGGGTTTAAAAGATCTGTAATTGCTATGTGTATTCAAAAAGCGCAAAGACTAGATGGCTCGTGAGATAGGAGAATGGAATACCAATCATTTTCTCTTTAGATCAGTTTCTCAGACTTAGTTGTGAAAAACAATCTTTGAGTATCATTGCCATTCAGAGGGTGTTTAGTGACCTGTAAGGGAAGAAATAACTATGTTTCCTAAATAAACTGTTTTCCACAGCATGCAAAATTCTGCATGCCAGCACACCTGTTGGTACCTTACTGACTTGGACAACTAATGAAAATAATACAGAGAGGAACAACAAAAGGTACATTTGCTTTGCTGAGCTGTTGAACATCCTCTGTGAAGAAACAGAAGACATCTTGAGTGGTTAATTCCCTTGGTATCTGAGAAATAAAGTGCAACAGCAGTAGTGCCCCAGCACTATCCTCAGGTAGAAAAACCTGCTGGTGCGAATTATCACTATTTCAAATTCCGTGTTTGTAACATTACTAATCCAGTTCTTTCTGAACGCTAGACAATCTCAAGGCAATTTTAGTTTGTACATTTGTGCAGGAGATAGGCATGTACAGGATAGTGTGTATGACCTCTTTTGGGCTCCTGCTTCAACAGTGCATTGCTGGAAAAGTTTTCTAATTCCATTAGGGCAGCAAGGAGGGCCAAATCTCAGACAGAGTCTCAGATGTAATACTACATGCTTTCTGTTTAAGGTTTTGGTGAGCACTTGTAGTAACAGTTGAGTTGTCAAGTATCTGAGGCACAGGACAGTCACAACATGAAAACGCCTCTTCATAGCCTTAGTCTCCTCTTTCCTCTTTCCATACTTTGACATTTGAACTTTCCTCTAGAGCATGTTGCTTAGGGCCAGAGGTTGTCACACCATGATGTCCGTTCCACGGAGTTTGATCTCATCTACCTCCTCTCCCTCTTCAGGTTTCTTCTCCTGCTCCTTTTTCCCCATGGTCTTTTTGGGTGTTCTGTGACTCACTCCTGTCCACCTTCCCAGTCTATCCAGTATTCTACATGAGACATAGGGCAGTCTATGGTTTTTGTAAGCAGTGCAGCTTTAAATGAAATGAGAAGTTCAGGCCTTGCTAAAAGCAAGTAGACATTCAAACTGGAGCCAGTAGTATTTGATGGCTTAGCAACTCATAAGCTAGTATTTTATTACAGTGCTTTTTGTAAGCACAGTAACAGCTGTGTACTGAGCGGTCTTAAATTCTCTTACAGTTCTGCTGCAGAGGAGGTGGAAATAAAAATTAAGCAATGATACACAAAAACTTTCAGAACAACTTTCTTTAGCACTTAAGTTACCTTTCATGGCTGAACCTTCTCTCACAGGGCTGCTGTAAAGCAAAAATCAGTGCAGGCCTAAGCACAAGGCATCACTTTTTAAGGTGATCCATATACCTTCATTCAAAGCTGGAGCTTTGCCTTCTGCTCTGTGTCCCAGCTGGGCTGTAGAAGTAAAAAGTTCCCTGACTGCTACATGTACCACCTGAGAAGTGGCTCCTTTCCTCATCTTTAGGTCGGAAGGAGTTGTCAGATTACTGGAGAATAAAGCAAGAGTTCACCAAAGCCTAGTTATTAATGTAGAAACACCCATGATGCACACAGGTTGGGCAGGGACCGGAGAAAAGAGCTTGTTCCAGCCAGAGATGGGTCACTACGCTTGTTATTTCGGACAGAGCTCTTACAACGTCAAGTCAGCCAGATTTTGCCATGTTAAAATCACATACTTGAGCTGTTTTCTCCCTCAGCTTTCTGATAAGGGCAGGTCAAAATGTACAGTATAAAGCTACATGCATTTCCTTTGGAATATTGTACTGCATTGAGCAGAAGTTATTAAAAGGGTGTTTAAATATCCCTCCTTGATATCTTCAGCAATTTCTGTAATCATGACAGGCTGCTAGAAATCTTTCCATGTGGAAAATCTTGAGCCAGTATCAAGTAAATGGGCATATGCCCTTGCACACAGGGACTCCAAGCTTTGAATATTTAGTTGAATATTTAGTTGAATATTTAGTTGTTATGGTCTGTACGGCACAACTAATCTTACATAAGGTCAAAAACTGAATGCAGCTATGAGATCTTTTCCACACCACAGCAAGCTATCCTCCCACTTTGTCAGGGGTGCATAACTGTGGCATAAGGTTTAATCATGCCTGTTAATGCGATAAGCAATTTTGTATCTACGAGAAAAGGCAATTTGCTTGTGGCTTTGAATTCCCAGATTCTCAAAAGAAAAAGTACCTATTTATTTTCCTAGCATATTGAGCTTCCAGAAAAGAAAAGGAGATAATTTTAGGACAATTAAGAATTGTTTGAAAAAGGGGACTGTCACACTAATTACCTTTAGCTGTTTGGATGCAACAAAAAGAGCATACAGTCATTAGGATTGCTTAAAGGTAAAAGTTCCTATATTAGAAGAGAAGCTACCAATTACCCCGTTGACTGGCAAAGCTCACCCAGCTGCGTAGAGTGAATTTGAAACCTGTGATTCTTTCCAAGGTGAACGTGGTGACATAAGCATTACCTATTCTCAGTACACATCTACCTTAGTTAAAACCTACCCCCCTGTGATGATGACACAGGCCGTCCAGCTTCTCCAGATGCTCACAGCTGGCATTTGCATCAATCTTGTTGACAAAGACAGTTCTTGAGATCATGTGCTGTAATGTTTTTTCTCTCCCATGCAAGGCTTTGAAGCCAAAGCATTGCTATGGCCTCTGGCAGCCTTCAGGATGAGTAGCTCAGCACTGCCCCTTAACCATTCATGTATTTGCTGAGGGTTATAACATAACATGAGCTAACACTAGGCTTTCTTCTTCCTTTTCTGCTGTTTGTTAAACTAGCAATAAGCATCCGATAGTCAGGACGACTTACTATGTACCTTCATGATACCTTATACTTACAAATATCTGAAGGGTGGGTGTCAGGAGGATAGGGCCAAACTCTTTTCAGTAGTGCCCAGCGACAGGACAAGGGGCAATGGGCACAAACTGAAGCACAGGAAGTTCTGTCTGAACATGAGGAAGAAGTTCTTCCCTCTGAGGGTGACGGAGCACTGGAACAGGCTGCTCAGGGAGGTTGTGGAGTCTCCTTTTCTGGAGATATTCAAGACCCGCCTGGACAAGGTCCTCTACAGCCTACTGTAGGTGACCCTGCAGAGGTCCCTTCCAACCCCTACCATTGTGTGATTCTGTGATTCTATGACTACAAGGCACATCCACCACAACAAGTTGCAGCTTCACGTTGATTTAAAACAAGACTTTTGGGAGTCACACTTGAGAGTTTTTCCACGTGCCACCTGATTTCACTGATACATTTAATAAGCAGCTGACAAATTTAGAAGAATGAGACCAATAGTAAACTGAGCCCATAACACATTTCTCTTGAGCAGCTGTGTATCAAATGGTGTTTAGGTAGTTAAAGGAAATTTATGTTAACATAAAAAAATAGAATCTTATGACTAGTCCCAAACACATGTGGAGTTACTGTAGGTAATTATTTTTGGAAATTATATGCCAGAGTGTTTACATTAAACAGCAAAGATACTTCTTTCTTAATTACACAGGTTTCTACTAAATGATTTTAGATTAAAGTGTGGAAAATGGTCATGTCAAATACTCCTTTAAAATTCAGTTTAACAAAAAAATGGCAAACAATTTCCTTAGATACATTTTTTTTAAATACAACAAAATACTCCTCCTGAATTGGTAATTCACTTCATATAATAATGGTTAGACATAAAAATTAGACAAGTTTAAATGGAGATACTCTCTTTAAAAACCCTTTATAAAAAAAAAGAGTCTGTCTACACGGAGAGTAGTAATTTTTCAAAGTCTGTAACTTCGTTAGTTTAAAAGTAAAAATCTGAAATACAAATGTTCCCATACATCCAAATTGCATAGATTGGATCCTTTTATTTTAAATATTTTAAAGCCAGTTCTGAAGGACACCACCCTCATAGGATCTAAAAGCATTGGATTACGAAAAGGGATTTTTTGAAGTCTGGGTGTGAGAAAACTGATACTGACAATGACATATTAATGTGTCCATGATGAATAAATACAAGAATTTAAAAATTGAACCACCAGCAATCTCATACATCATTCTCTTTTTTTTTTTTGTTGGGGGAGGGAATGTATATAAAAGATTCAAATGTCAGAAGTATAATGTCAGACTGTTTATAATGTCAAGTGATGCATGTTGCATGCTCTTAGTATATTCCATTGATCAACCCAGAATCTGGGATAATAGTTGCAGATGATGGAGCACATTTCTTGTGCAAATGGACATGGATTTGAAGTGAATTTGGAAGAAAAACATTTTCATATTGAAGTCTTAATAATTGTTTCATTCAACCTGCATCGATCTGTGCACAAATTATTTTGCATAAAACTTACACTTCTAACAACAACTAGTATTAGTGTGATGCCTGCAGGTCACTGTCAGCCAAGGAGAACTTATGATATAATGTAGTAATTTGATAAAACTTGTTGCAGACTTGAGAGACAATCAGTCCCAGCAGAACCAGAGGGAACCATAATTTTTCCTTTGCAGACAGTTCATGCAGTTCCGTTTCAGCTCAGAGAATTAATCTTGTTATTTATAAAGGAAGGTTCAGTTGTTTTTAGCCTAGTTTCCTGAGAAAATGGGGCATACGTGATCATGCCATCTGTGAATGCCTTCCCTGCACTCCTAGCAGCTGCCATGTTCAAAGACAATTGCAACACAGTTTGAAAGAAGGTAGAATTCTCAAAGAGACTAAATTGCTAAAAGCTTTCACCCAGGTATCTAGGCAGGGCAAAGATACTTAAATTAGTTCTCCCTGTCAGGGAAAGGCAGGAAGAATTCAGCTGTTCAACAT